AAGGTTAAATGAAAACCTTCTATTTCTCGAGAAGTATTAGGTGGCTCAGAGCTCTGCAACTTATCTTCAAAGATAGCATTCACCTAAAGCTGAAGTAGCCAAAAAGGACCACTAATGACCAAAGGAAAGTCATTAGACTTAAATGAGACTGCCGCATAATTTAAGTTCTTGTATATGCTTCCCAAGACATATTGAGGACTCTTCGTGTAAAAGTTGAGCTAAAGTAAAAAGGGTTTTTGGTACTTGAAGAGATCTCGAGCAGAAAACATAGGCTGAAAGCCAAAACATAAGGAAGGAAACATGTTCCTCATCAGTAATAGGGCCATCTTGATTCATATTCAAAGTGATGAAGAGTTGGTAGGAGAGTTTCTGAAAATTAGGGATGACATCAGGATTTTTTGGATGAGAATCTAGTCAAAACGAAGGACCAATTGGCCTAAGCCCGACAATGGTTGTGATATAAAAAAGGGTTGGAGTAATCATACCATAAGGTACGTGGAAAGAGCTAGTCACTCGATCCTAGAAGTAAAGAGAACTCATGATCATAGGGAAATTATGAGATAAATTGTACCTAGATAATTGAATGACATCATAAATTCTTATGGTTCTCCAGCTATCTTGTTTTTTGCTCTCGACTCTATCTAACCAAGGCAAATACAAGTCTTTGGTTACAAGAGGCATGGTTCGGAATATTTTTTGAGCATTCTCAAGAGAATCCAAGTTATATTTCGAGGAAAATGCTAAGATCCCATCAACAGAAGAAGGGGACTCGACAAATTCTTGGGGAATAAAAGGACCAAAAAATGCATGAGGTTTTGAGCCTAATGAAAAAGGGATGAGTACCTAGCATTTCCAAATAGCTAGCTTCTCCTCCTCAAGAGGTGGCTCAGGAAGGTAGCTCGAATGACCCAAAGACATAAGCTCAGCATTGGAGAAAGTTGAAGGAACTTTTGACTTGGATGCCATGTCGACAGAAAATTGAAGAGAATGAGAAGCAACAAAGAAGAATTTCGACTTAAAAGAACTCAGATGAAGAGATCAGAGCTTCTGAGAGAGGAGAGTAAAAATGAAAGTGTAAAAATGAGAAGATATCTCCATCTTATATACTGGTCCCAACCTCGCGCAAGCCCATGAAATAGCCTAAATCTAGATTATTTTGACACTTAGTGGGAAGTTGAAGAGTAAGTGGAGTGTCTTTTCGATCAAAAATTGACTCAAATCCCCCACAGGACGACGCACGTCTCTGTAATGGGACGTTTTAGGTAACTGCCAGATGTAGGTTGCATTAAATGCGCTAACTGTGGGTGATGTGCCTGACATATAGCAGGTAAGTGGCAGAGACGCCATAAAAATGGCGAGAAATTTGAAAAAAAAAATTTACAACGAATAACAAATAAAAATATTAAAGAAATTAATATTTTGGGGGACATCTGTTTGGGTAAAGAAAATTTTCTAAGTTATAAAATTATATTGCAGGATATAATTTTTAAGGTGTTTTTGGAGGAGTTTTTCAAGACCCTTACACCTAGAACTGCTCGAGAAATAGGATTGGTAAAAAATTACTGTAAGTCCACAAAACTAGAGGCGTTTTTTAGGTGTTTTGAGGAGTTTTCAACTCCCTCACACCCAAAACTGCTAAAAAAATAGGACTATAAGAAATTACTCCAAGTCCACAAAACTGGAAGCTTTTTCGAGGTGTTTTAAGTCTCTTACACCCAAAACTGCTCAAAAAACAGGAATAACAGGAAAATATTCTAAGTCTACAGGACTGAAAGTCTTTCAAGGAGTTTTTGAGGGTTTTTAAGTCCCTAACACATAAAATTGCTCGAAAAGCAAAAAATGGCCAGATCTTCTCGAGAATTGCTCGAAAACCAGGAAGCGGTTAGAAAATATTCTAAGTCCATAAATCTGGTTGAGTTTCATATTCTCTCCAGACTTGCTTGAAAAATAGGAATAATCAGAGAAAATATTCTAAGTCCACGAGGCCAAGATAAGCTCTCAGACCCTCAAAATTAGTCGAAAAGAGAAGTCAAGAGGAAAATATTCTAAGGCCATAATACTAAATGAACCTCCTAGATTTCTCCCAGAATTGCTCGAAAGAGAGAAAATAAAAAGTCCTGATAGGACTCAATAGCTATTGCAAGGTTCAAAAGTGGCCACCAACAGTTACCAGCAGTTACCACCAGACGAAGGTTTAATAACATGAAGACAGATCGTGGGCGAGAGAAGTTATAAGAGAAGTCCCAACCGACAGCACGATCACAAGCCATTGTGGATAATGGGTATCAGTAGTTGAAGGCGGTTATTAAGAAGTACTCGCTAAAGGTTCTATGTTTGATTAAGTTTTGCGTTATAACGCCAATTTTACTGTTACGTTAACAACATACTTAAAAGAATCTAAAGAGGACGTAAATCCTGTCCCGAGATTGCTCTTGGATTTATTTATTTACAACCTGTCATTTTTCACTGTAAACATATACACACTCTCCTTCCATAACCGATTCAAAGATATTGATTAAACTAAACAAAGTGAAGTTTGAATTATTTTCATAGATTTACTACAGTAGATCACTTGACAAAGATTTTATTCGCATTCTAATTTTATAGATTCTAGTTTTTTTTTTAGTGCTTATTTGATTTTTCTAGAGATATAGGCAAAAAATTGGAATGTGTTTCTTTATAAAAGTTTATTGCTTATAATATTTAGAATTTTATGATTACTTTTACTTGCCCAAATGAGTAATTTCAAAAGTATTTGTTTAGTGTCATCAAGGTGAACTTAAAAGATAATAAAATATGTTTTTAATTAGTTAATGAATAGAGATGACCTAAGAAATTATTATATTAGTTATAAATAATATTTATGTGATAGCAAATGATTTTAGAATAATTAAATATTTTTATATTTTAAAAAATAAGTTTTTTCTTATTTTTTATTTATTTTAGAATTAAGTAGATACCTCTATAACACCTCTCTAAGCATAAATAATTCCACCAAAAAATTATGTTAATTATGAAAGTCTATTATTAATTATTCTTAGGTCTATTATTATTGTTCTTGGTGTTTTTAACAATATAAAGAAGTTTGTAGTTGTTGTTAGAATTAGTTGGAATAGATATTGTTGGAATTATTATTGGAATTTTTGTTGTCATGGTGATTGAAAGAATTGCTGTTGTTCATACAAATGTTACTTTTGGAATTGTAGTCGTAGAATGCTATCATAAAATATATGGATTTAGTCGTGCATTAATAATGATTAAAGAATGTGATCCTTGTTTGAATCGGGATATTTTGTGAATGATTGGTTTGTGAAAAGATTGTTGGTATTTTTAAAGGGATATAGGTAATGAATTTTATACGTTAAGAATGTTCTGTTGATGGTTTGAATCTTTTAGTTTATATGGTAGATTTTGAAATTTGTTATTTTAAAAAGTTTTACTTACAAAGATGTTTCAAGAGTTTATACCTTTGATAATATGTATTTGTTTTAACGCTTTAGTTTTTGAAACTTGATTTATTAAAGAATTTATTTACTTAAATTATGTTCTACTACTTTTCTTATATTTGGTGATTCATAAATTTATTTGAATTAATTTTTAATTGCTTATTCAAACAAAGTGTTAGAAGGGATATTTATTCAATTTTTTATTATTCCCTTAGAAAATTATTTAAATGATTTGGAAACAGAATTTAAGTTGGATGTGATGTGTTTGAATTGTATTGAGAAAGTTTTACTAAGTTTCAGGTGCATTGAAAAATTTGGAAAGCCTTATTTTTAAGGACAACTCTGTTAAAATTTGTAAGAGTTGATGTTGTTGTGGATAATCAAGATGACTATATGTGGTTATGATGATAAAAGTCTAATTCTTCATTTAAGACCGTGTATTATTATTAAGTTATATGGTGGTGATTGGGTGATCACTTGACTTGAAACTTCAAGAAACTACTGGGGTCAATAGTCTTTTTTTTTTTTAAAAAAAACTTATGAATTACTATTTTTTTTTAAACATACTTGATGATATTATATATATATATATATATATATATATATATATATATTATGCTTTATGAATATTTGGTATGGCTTACGTGTTGTGTGTAAGAGATAATATAATAATATATTAGATTGATTATTATATTTAAAAAAATTAAAATTTACATTTTCTTGAGTGTTAGATTTATTAAGAGGTTTATATTCTTATTTGATCAATATTGATGGTGTATTGGTGTGAATGTTTCTATATAGAATAGTACTAAGGAGTGCTACAGTTTTTAGGTAGAGTCACTCTCTTTGATGCTTGATGTTTTAAACGTATGACGTACTTCGGGTACGTAATGGACACATGACCTGCTAATTTTAATGGAGATGGAGCAGAATGTGGAGAAAGTAATCATAATGCTTCATATTGTTTAGTCTCATATTAAAAAAAAATTGCTAAAAGTTCTCTAATACAATCCATTATTTTGCCGTTTTAGTAGAGTCGAGTCCTAGAAAAAGGGTCTGGGATGCACGTGATTATGTAATTTTCTGAATACTAAAAGTGAATTTAGCTATGTTTTATGAAATTTGGTCTAACACCGGAAATGAAATTACTGTTACATTCCGTTACTTTTAGAGGTATGTTTCTGAGGTTTCTTAAAAACATAATAGTATTTTCAAGCTACATAGACATGTATCAAATGTAAATTCGGAGGATTTCTCGGTCATGTTAAAACATGTAAAAAATACTTTAGTAGGAGAATATATATTTTATACAATTAGGAATCTCCACAGTATTGTTTGTAGATGGAAATGTGATGTTAATCTTTATGACGATTGACTGAGCCCAAAGTTGATGCTCTATACCTTACCAAACAGAAGTCTTTTAATAAAGAAAAGGGCTTCGTTCATCAGGCCCAAAAAACGAACCACTATCTCACTCTTTAATTGTCATAGCCAAGCCACAATAACAAAAACAAAGGAAGCTTCATATTTGTAGCAAAACAAGGAAAGGTAAAAATGTTCAGAAGACTTCAACTAGACTCGAATCACAGAATCATCTTAGCTTTGAGACTCACTGCTCTGCTATTTTTCTTTCGTTCAGTTCAGTATGCTTATGGCTACTCATCAAGGGCTCATATCTTCATATATGCAGTCTGCTCTCAAGAAAAATACCAACCTAACTCACCCTTTGAAGGCAACCTTAACAGCTTTCTGTCTTCAGTGTTCAGTTCATCATCTGAGGTTACTTACAATAGCTTTGCTATTGGAAATGGAAGCTCAACACCACAAGAGGGAACCATATATGGCTTATACCAGTGCAGAGGTGATTTGCATCCAATTGACTGCTCAAAATGTGTTGGAAGATCTGTTAATCAAATAGGCTTGGTTTGTCCCTATGCCCTTGGTGCTTCTTTGCAACTTGAAGGCTGCTACGTAAGATACGAACATACTGGTGATTTCCTAGGAAAACTGGACACCAGTCTGAGGTACAAGAAATGTAGTAAAGCAGTAACTAATGATGGTGGGTTCTTTGAGCGTAGAGACGATGTTCTTGCTGATTTGCAAACAGCTAATGGATTTAGAGTCAGTAGTTCAGGCCTAGTTGAAGGGTTTGCACAATGCTTGGGGGATTTAAGTGTATCGGATTGCTCCTCTTGTCTAGCTGATGCAGTTGGAAAGCTGAAAAGCTTGTGTGGATCAGCAGCATCAGCTGATGTGTTCTTGGGACAATGTTATGCTCGGTACTGGGCATCTGGCTATTATGACGAATCAGGTCCATTTCATTCTAACCCCGATTTCTTTTTTCTACTTTGAAGTGTTGCCGCTAATTCATTTAATTCTAATCCAATCATATTTTGGAAGAAGTGCTCACAAAAGAAAATTTGATTATAACTAAACCACTTCAATTCTTAGTGGAGAGGTGCAAGAAAAGCAGGAAAAGTTGAAATTATTTTGAATATGATTTGAATTGCTTACAGATATTCCATGAATGAGCCTTTTGTGGAAAAAGAGATCAGAAATTGATAGTAGAAAGCAAACAGAATTTCCAAACAAATTGTGAAATGAAATGGTTTATAATATTTTATGAGGCAAAGTATTCAGAACATATGCTTTTATACTTTATTTTGGAAAATGCACACTTTCTGCCACTCCTCTTTATCCCTTTGTTTGAATGCCTGTTACTTAGTATCACATTCCATATTCTTCAAATATCAATTCACCAGTGAACCTCAGCATCCCATCGGTTCCATTCAAACAGTGAGTCTTACTTGGCATAAAGCAACAGCTCATTGCAAAGTAAGATGGCATAGAATCTGAACCACCATCTTTTAGCCCTCAACAAGTGAAAGTTATATATTCCTCCCTAAATTCTTAGACTAATAATTTTATATAAAGCTTCCATTATATGCTTCTAAAATTAAGAAAAGCTTGCAATCAATTTGATTATAAACTGGAAAATTTTAATTTTTTTATAAAACATTTGCATCAGTATATAAAAACTATAGCAGACTCAAATACTCTCTCCCTTTTTATGGCTTTGATTTATTATATTAAATAAATACTGTCAAGTCAATTAAGTATAAAATTATAACCTTATAAATTGTGTTTCCAAACTTAGTTTAGCAGTATATTTTTGTTGAATTACATTACATGTATAATTAGGTAGTGTCTCTTGTCAGAACTCCCGCACAACAGTGTGCCAATAGTTATCAGCTTTTCTTTAACATTGTGTTTTGTGCAGATTCTTCCAACGATGACCAAGTTGGAAAATCTGTTGCCATTATTGTGGGTGTGTTTGCAGGTCTAGCCGTTCTAGTTGTACTCCTCTCAATTTGCAAAAAGGCAGCAGGTAATCATTTTCCTAAACTTGCTATCGCTATAAATAATGAAATGACAATCATTGATGAGATGATGGTGCTCATGATCATTAATTTATATTACATGCAGGTTAAGAAGATAGAGGTGCCAAAAGATTGGGTAATCATTAGAAAATAGAAAAGTTCTTTAAATGTTTGTTTAAAATTAATGGAAACCACGCTTGATGAATTTAATACATTGTTTTTCCACAAAAGAAAGTGGACGTTATCTTCTACGAATAGTTTATAAAGTAGAACTCCGCTATCCATCATCAACTTAGAAACGACTGCGGTTGTCTTGCCTCGGTGATGTCCAACAAAACCTATTATTCTTTTCCATATTTTAAACCATATGTTAATCATTCTAATGCGCACATCTTTCTAAAATACTTTGCTTTTTCATTTATTGACTTTAATCTTAGGGCCCTTTTCGACTAAATTTCAGATTATTCTAAAAGTTTTAATTTTTACACCGAGTCCCTCGGAGGGAGGGTTCTTTTTCGAAATAAATTTGCTATAATTTTATAATTTTTTTATTTTCATAAAATATTTATTAAATAAAAATTCGTATTTATTTTTTAAAAAATATAAAAAGCATTTATTAGATTCCATTACCAATTCTTAGACTCAGACAAGACCCACGACTAATACCTAAATCACTTCGCGTGTTATGTTATAATATTTTAACTAATTATAATCAATACTCAATTGATTTTTCACATTAAATATGAAATCTTTCATTTTTTTCTCGGTTACTTAGGGTTTATAATTTAGAATTTAGAATTATTCTTTTTAATTTTATTGTGATTAACAGGACTCATAAGCTAAAACTTGGGTTGCATGAAACAAAATCTATCCTCCTTTACATTGAATGCCTATTAATATTAAACAGAAGGGGATAAGTATTCATTTTAATATTTAATTTATAAGTATTGATTATTTTATTTTGATTTTATAAAAATGTCACTCTAGTCTCTCTTTGTACTAAATAATACAAATAAATAAATTAACAACTAAAGGAATTTTTTTTATAAAATTAAAAAATAAAAATAAATAACCCTTATAATTTAAATGACAAAAATATTTAATCACTTCAAAATTCCAAGTGAACTAAAGGAATTTGAGGTTTTGGTTACCGTCAGATTTAAGCCTATTTTATTTTTTCAACTAAAATGATTTTCCTCCTTCATCTTTATCTCGTACATATGCATTCCACCCTTTCAGATTTAACCAACACTGTTCTTCAAACCATCAAAACTCAAAATCCGATTTCAGTTAAAGAATTTTCAAATTCGGCGTTCCTCCCTGATAACACGTAATTTGAGACCCCAACTGTAGTTCTAAATATAGGCTTGATTATAGTGTTCGTAAGTTTTTCTATTTTTGTTTCAAATAAAAGGTAAAGACTACGGTGAGTTATTAAGATAAGTGGCTTATCTAACAGATTTTAAAATTTTGAATATTTAAAATTTAATTTTTTAATATTTAAAATTTAATCTTTACTAAATTTTGCAGATAAAAGATCTAAATTTTTTAAATATTTAAATTGATCCTTTTTTAACATAATTTTTTTAAGGTTAAAAAAAACATAATTATTTATTCACATGAAACTATATTATATTCTCTCAAACTTACTTCTATATTTATTTTTAAAGACATTCAAGATTTTGTTTTGTATTACTAATGTAAAGTTCAACAATAAATTAAGTGACTACGAAAGCAAATCAAAGACATATATCAATATAACACATATTCGCTTAAGCTAATATTCATCATTTACGCCATTATTATGTTGTATTTCTCAGCTTAAGTGGATTATGTTCCACTTAAGCAAATTACTTCTAGTGAGTTATTCTTTTTTTTATAATTTTCACTTAAGCAAGAAAACTTGGCTTAAGCGAATGTTGCAGAATTTGTGCGATGCAAAAACAACTATTATAAAGGGAGAACATGTGAAAGATCTAAAAGGGAATTAAATAATGTATCAATACAAAACTTCATTTTCATGATAAATTTAGACTAAGAGTGGATGTAAAAGTTTTAATTCTAAAAATCATTAATTTCATAAATAGTGTTTGTGGAGAACTTTAAAGATCTAACATAACATTCAACATTCTATTGATTCAAAATTATTTTTTATTATGTATTTAAATTATATTTGAATGTGCATATGAACGGATATTTTCTTCAAATAAGGTTAGAAGATCTAAGATACTGATGAAAAGAAATTTGTCACGAACCCTCATTAAAATATAAACAGAAATTAATGTAATACTAGGGTACTAACCTAGGTCAACTCCAATGACAATGGTTGAGAATGTGCATAAAATATGTTAAAAACATTAATAATGAGAGCAATTAATTAGGGGAGAGGGATTTGTGTAATTCCAAGGTTGAAATAAAGAATAAGAAGCAGAATTATAAAGTTCAATCAATAAAAAATGGTAACCCCTAGTTCATTCATGTAGACTCTATCCCTATTCCTCTCAAGATTCAATACTTTTCATCTCCTCTTAGAATTAGGTTAATTTAACGAGCGACAATCAACCTTATATTTCCGTATGAAGTAAGCAATTCAATAAACTTCAATCTCTCATCCCAAGATTACGCAAGCTTAGAAATAAACCCAGAATTAAGCAATTTAAATTTAGAATTTCATTAAAACGAATTAGGGTTCATTCCGCAATGCTCCTTCATTCACCCATTAATTCAATTCAAGAGTTTGGGAGAAAGCAATTCATGGAAGGAAAAGAACTATATTAACATTCAAAACTCAGGAATTCAAGAGTCTAAATGAACTCTCTAGGGGTTACAAAAGGTTTAGCCCTCCATGAGGATAAGTCTTACAATTATCAAATAAAAATAAAGAGAAACCAATGACATTAATGCGAAAATTAAAAAAGAATTATAAATTATTCAAACATATTTACAATTAATTTAAACAGTATAAGAATTAGAATCTAACTGTAATTTAATAATAATACCAAATTAAAATAATATAAATTACATGAGTACTGAATTTAAGTTGTATATAAAAGTATACTTTTTACAGACTGTTAACCCAAATATATATATATATATATATATATATATATATATATATATATATATGATTTACAATACATCATTAAATAACCAAAATAAGCAAAAATTTTCTTTTTCTAGAGCAATCGTCATTCTTGTTTCATAAAATATTTGTAAGGATGAGTTCTTTCTCATCATTAAAACATAAACAACAAGTATAATTTATATATTAGAAAAAATATTTTTACAATCCATGTGCAAAGAAGAATACATTAATCTTTCTAATAATATCCATATCATGTTCACATAAAATTAATAAAATACCGGCCATTAATTATGTTCCAAATACATCAACACCCTTTGTATATCAATAATATATTCAATTCACTTCATTTTCATTTTCATTTCAACCATTTTCTCATACAATGTGATCACATTTCATAGTTGCCTCCAACATTTCATGAGGTCTTACACAATAGATGAATAGTTGTTGATTAACTCATGCATACAGATACAACGTGCACACTTATAGAGCCTCTTAGCAAAAGTACAGTTAGAGTGTTAGTCAGAAAACGAGTGTGTGGCCAAATGATGCATTTGCATTTTATAAATGTGTACACTCAAGCGAATATCATCCATTACCCTACGTTTCCCCCATACTTCTATAATCGATTTCCTATTCCATACTCCCAGTGTATCGCTGTGGCTATTCACACTAATTTCTTTCTCATCAATTCATATATCATTCGCAGATCAGCATGTTACAATACACGTATTATAACCATATAATTCAATGTATTATGATACATATATTATGAATACACCCGTCAATGTGTCACAATACCTGTATTATAATCAAATCAATTAATTGGCTACATCTCACGTACTGTAAGCACACATCTCATAGCTCTACAATCTCATTAAAGTTTCACACTTCCCAAATTCAATTCCATTCAAATATTTTCATAACAATGCATATCATACATATACTTTTCATACATATTGTTCCTCATTTAACTCATTTTCACATATACTTAAATTTCAATCAAATTCACCAATCACAATATCATACCATTCACACATAATCCAACTATCAATCAAACAACTTTGCCAGAGATCGAATATCTCTAGACTTAGCCCAAATCGAATATTACAATCAATTATATTTCATAATATCTCAAAATAATCAATTACTACCACCAATTGAACTTTCTAAGGTCAGGACATATATATATATATATATATATATATATATATATATATATATCATTAACTTATCATAATACTTAAAATTTTTATCTTAATATATTTTCACAACATAAACTAACACTACTGGGGTTTCAAAAGTACAAATATTACTACGTTCTAATGATGGAACTGAACTCTTGTAGCGGTGACGAAGACCGATATAACATCCTATACTTTGATTTAAATAAAATGAGGTTTGTTAAAGTATAATTGGAATAGATTAGGATAGAATTTATATATTTTTTCTAAAAAAAGTGAACAGTAAAACCGCCTATGAACAATGAAACTGCCTATGTACAGTGATGATGACATCAGCATGACGTCATGGCTGACGTCATCCGCGTACAGTACGTGTACAATACGTGTGCACAGTGTTTTCGGCGTGAACAATGACTGCTAACAGTGTTTCCGACGATGAACAGTAATTCCGGCGGTGAACAGTAAATTTCAAAAAATTTCTATAAAAAGGGGGTTTCACACAAAATTTTCATTTTTTCACTCCTATCCAAGGTTCTCAAAGGTTCTAAGGCTATATCTCACCATTTTCTCCCATACTAAACCTCCTAAACTTAGATTTTTCTTCAGATTTGTGATTCTACGTTCGATTTAAAGAATTTCAAGTAAGTTTCTCTAAGTTTGAAGTTAGATTTTCCGTTCATTTTTCTTCTTCTTCTTATAGATGTTCATGATGTTCTTAGGAAAAACTCCGTTCTAGAGTTCAAATCTTCAGTTAAATCTTTGTAAAAGCTCTGTTTAGAGGTAAGGGGGTCTCTAGTTTATCATTTTGTTATGTTTATTACTTGTATTCTCATAGATCTTGTCATGTATGTGATTATATGTGGAATAATCCT